CACCCCTGCCACCCACCCCACCCCAGCCACCCCACCCCACCCTGCCACCCTACCCACCCAGCCACCCCACCCCCACCCTACCCACCCCAGCCACCCCACCCCTGCCACCTACCCACCCCAGCCACCCCACCCTGCCACCCTACCCCACCCCAGCCACCCACCCCACCTCAGCCACCCTACCCCACCTCAGCCACCCCACCCTGCCACCCTACCCCACCCAGCCACCCCACCCCTGCCACCCTACCCCACCCCAGCCACCCCACCCCTGCCACCCCACCCCACCCCTGCCACCCCACCCCTGCCACCCTACCCCACCCCAGCCACCTGACCCTGCCACCCTACCCCACCCCAGCCACCTGACCCCTGCCACCTTACCCCACCCCAGCCACCCCACCCCTGCCACCTTACCCCACCCCAGCCACCTGACCCCTGCCACCTTACCCCACCCCAGCCACCTGACCCCTGCCACCCTACCCACCCCAGCCACCCAACCCTGCCACCCTACCCCACCCCAGCCACCCCACCCCTGCCACCTTACCCGACCCCAGCCACCCCACCCCTGCCACCTTACCCCACCCCAGCCACCCCACCCCTGCCACCTTACCCCACCCAGCCACCTGACCCTGCCACCTTACCCCACCCCAGCCACCCTACCCCACCCCAGCCACCTGACCCCACCCCAGCCACCTGACCCCTGCCACCCTACCCCTTGTGGATGACGATCTCCACGTCTAAACTTTGTTGTTAAACATTGATGGCATTTACTCACTTGTGACAAGAGTTCAATGTTCTAATAAGCCTCATCTCCCCTAATCCCTCCAGTCACGATCACAGCTTTTTGCCGCTGGTTATACATTCACCAGCCAACAGCAGTAATCATTCATATTAAATGTACATCATTAAAATTTACAAAACAGTTAACTTGAAAAAAGCTGCTTCCCCTGTTTTCAAACTCTCCTAACAAGTTATACATGTCCATCAATAGGTTTCCATCTGACTGGAGACTTTGACGCATTCTATATTAAATATTCACATATGTACTAGTAATTCCTGTCAGCGCTTCATCCATATTTCATCCAAAATAAGAACCCACTGAAAAGTCAATTGAAATTCTGGCGCATCTGTTAGCCATTGTGAAAGGACAGAATCAGCCCCACAACAATGGCAAGTTGCCAACCAGCGGAGTGGCCAAACAATGCTGATGGTGGCCTGACATGCACCAGCCTGAGCAGCCGTGGGGTCTCACAGACCCTCCCTCTGTTTACTCCTCTGTCTTCCATCGGAAAGGCCTGAGGTAATCACGTTTGGTGTCATTGATCACGTTGATTGTTCAGCCTTTTATCCATCGACCTCTGACTGATCTGTCTTCTTCCTCACATGAAGCCAATGTGAGTTGTAATGAGTGTAATCAGTGCAGCTCCCCAGCACTGACTGCAGCCTCAGCCCACATTACATTAATGTCCCCCACGTGGGCCTTGTGGGAATATCCAAAATGAAGGCTGTAAATAGCAGCTCTGGTGATCTTTCCTCGATCCAGAATTACAAAACTATAAATAACAGCCCAAGTGCTACAGTCCTACTCCCTGAGTGTCCAGTGCTTGGGATACTCAGGCAACAGTGTCCGAAACACTGAGTGTCCAGTGCCTTGGGATGTCCTCCCAACGTGAAATTTTGTTGTTGCTATTGTTGTTGAGTGAACTGAACAGTGAACAGCATCAGAGGGCAACATTTGCTCTTTATTTTTGTGAGATGTGCACATTTTGAGGGCAAATCCTTCCAGCACGTATACACACTCACACACACTCACACTTGTGCACACACACACTTGCACACACTTGTACACATGCACACAAACACTTGCACACACAATCACATATTTGCACACACATACTTGTACACACACATTCACAAACATACTCTTACACCACACATTCACACACACCACACACTCGCAAGCGCACACACTGGCGCACAACACACACACACTCGTGCACACACACACACTTGCGCACACACACACACTTGCGCACACACACACACTTGCGCACACACACACTCGCGTGCACCCGCTTAATTAGCAGCTCACAGAAAGCTTGGATTGTAAGCAGCTGCTGGTGGAGTGTAACCCAAACAGTTTTCAGCAGTCTGGCTGCTGCTGTGCTGATCTTTGCTGCGACTTTGTTAACATTCGTTTCGCAAAATCAGATAAAGATTAAAAACAAGTCTTGAAGACATTGTGGCTGTAACACCTCCCTACTCCCCGACAGTGAAGGCTCCTGACCTGTACGAGCTTAGAGACAGTGTGTTAGCTCCACGGTTCCGAGTCCCAATTTCAAACAGCAATCTCTGCCCCAGGTCTGACTCAGTAAACATTAGTGACAGAATGAATCAGTGTGATCTGGGCAGTCTGCGTCACTGTGTGATGGTCACCCACTGAAATAACACTTGGCTTCCAACAGTCAAGTGCAGCTCAGGTTGCAGACTCCATCCAACAGATTGATTACATCGAGGACACAAAATCATCATAAGCCAAAGCTTCCGGAAGCCTCTCTGAAATGTCTCTCTCTATCTCTCTCTTTAAAGAAAAATCAAAGAGAAAAAGTAAACAATGCTGTTTTTCTCTTTCAAGGAAAGAGCAACAAAAGGAAGGTGTTGATCGGCTCACAAGTCGTTCTTACAGTCAATCACTGGAACTGAGCCCCATCAGTAACAGGACATTAAATTCTCAACTTGAGCAAATTAAATCAAAGGAAGCGTTGACATTAGCACTGCAGAATTCACCAGTGGCACATTAATCAAATTATTCACTCAATATGGATTGCTGTGTAACTAGCAGGTGATCCTGTGGTTAAACTGGTTTGGCCAGTGCTTCAGCTTTGTTTGCCCAGCCCTAAACCAGTCACCTCTTTATACACTGTCCCTTACAGGCAGCAACGGGGAGAAATTAAGGCCAATCCAACCAGGTCTATGTGTCTCTGGGTATTGTGTTGACTTCCCAGTTGTGTTGTTGGAAATCTTTAACTATCTGGGCTGCAGCAGGACTCAGATCTCAAAGAAAAACACTCTCTAAAATGTACCCCATCTCGCGTTTGTTAAAAGAAACACCAAGTAACAACACAGGAGATGCTAAATGAGTGCAGTGTAAAGGCTGAGTGGGAAAGCTCACTCATCCCTACCTGTCTGCACCGCTTGTGGAAGGGTTTCCGTTGGCCTTGGCCTCGGCTCAGACTGGGGTTGTTCTCCCTGTCAGAGTTCCCATTGTGAAAGTTGTGTCTCTTCTTGTTTGGGTGAAACCTTAGGCCGTTGTGTAGCTGGTTACGGGTTTTCTTTACGAGTGGGTTCTGCGCTGTGTCCATGTGCTCACTGGGCTTCAGTGTCGTGTCCTTCTGCAATGACACAAAAGGTTCACAGTTTACCAAATTCACAGTATCACAGTAAACACTGTCCACGGCAAACACAGCAGACACAGAGCACAGCAAACACAGCCCACAGCAAACACAGCCCACGGCAAACACAGCCCACAGCAAACACAGCCCACGGCAAACACAGCAGACACAGAGCACAGCAAACACAGCCCACGGCAAACACAGCCCACGGCAAACACAGCCCACAGCAAACACAGCCCACGGCAAACACAGCCCACGGCAAACACAGCAGACACAGAGCACAGCAAACACAGCCCACGGCAAACACAGCCCACAGCAAACACAGCCCACGGCAAACACAGCCCACGGCAAACACAGCCCACGGCAAACACAGCCCACGGCAAACACAGCAGACACAGAGCACAGCAAACACAGCAAACACACACCAGGGCATCCTGAACAATGCAAAGTTACTGGATTACAAACATAACAAACTGTTACTCAATTAGCCATCTCCTTTGAAAGCACACAGAACAGCTTTATTACTGTCTTTACTAACTGTTACAAGTGACAGTTACCAACTCTAACTCTAAGTGATGTA